ATTTGGAAACATGCTTCACGCTGGTGAGAAAACAAAAGTTAAGGTACCTACAGCTTTCCATAGGCAGATTTTTTAGTTATTTAAATCTAAATTATTAAAAAAAGTCAACATGTTTCATCCCACTGTGTGTCAGTTATTTCTTGGACCTGTCCCCTCAAAGCAGAATCTAGGTGCCAATGTCTGGCAAGCTCTTTTCAATCCTTCTATGTTTAGTCCTCAACTTGAACATAAAATAGTAAAGCCCTGCTTACTGGCCAAGTTTAATTTAGGGATGGCTATAACAGCGGTTTCTAATCAAACCTCTTTTCTGCGTTCTTCTCTAGCTTGAGAAAAGTCGTTCTGACATTACAGAGGGGGGCTCTGTAATGGTAAGATCCTCGTTTGACATTATAGAGCACTTTAATACAGAAGCATCCAATTTTACACCTGAAGTACTAAGGATCTCTCAAATTGTCTAAAACAGCCAAACAGATCCCCATTAAATAACAGACCTAAAACTTCCAAAATGTGGTTAGTTTGTAGGCAGCTGTTGATCCTTCTGGATCATGACTTCATAGACAGTAGGGCTGGAAGGGACTCCGGAAGATCATCGAGTCCAGCCCTGGATGTATGATGATGCATGCATGAGAAGTCACCAGGACCTTCACCACGTACACGCAGGCAGAAATATGAGGGGTGGAGGCTGCCCAGACCTTCCACCCACCTTGAGACTATCGAGACAAAATCCAAAGGCCAGACCGAGTCTAGATGTCCCATTCCTCAATGGCTGCAGATACACGTGCATCCAGGAATTGAACCTGGGTCTTCAGCATCGCAGACGAGGACTCTACCACCACTGACCCACGACTGTGGATCCGAAATGTGGCATAGGTGCAGAAATATGAGCGTGTATTTTGTGGCATTTCATAAGGCTATATGGTGCCTTATCTCTCTCCACACAATATGCCAACCAATATTACCTTAAAAATAGAAACTATATCCAGGAAAGGATGCAACTATAACCAAGAAAGGATGAAAGAATGAAACTATATCCAAGAAAGGATATTTTCAGTGCTATTCATCTCTTGGAAGATTTGCACAGAAAAATCTGCCTCAAAACTGAGGATTGATTTGGTCACAATATACAGTATTTGCAAAGACCTGGTGCAAACTACTTAAGGTCAGAAACTGTTCTAAAGTATAACTTTGGTTGATTGGAAATGATGTGCGTGTAGCACATGGTAAGCGTGCAGTGAAAAAAAAAAAAAAAAAGATTACAGTTCAAGTCTTAACTGCATCTTGTTTGCTCTGTGCATGTCCTTTCGCAGCTTCTGATGAAATGAGCTTGGGCTTGCAAGAGCTTATGCATCTCTGATTTAGTTAGTCTAGAAGGTGCATCTCTAACTTGCCTTTTTCTGCCTGTTTGAAAGAACTGCAGCTGGTAATGCAGTAAAGACAGCCTCTCGGCCCAAGTGAAAGAATTGTGGCTTCTAGTACCAGATACTTTGTGCAAGATGGTTAATAGCAAACTATGTGGATTGAGAGGACTAAGAGAAGGGACACAGGAGAGTAAAGAGGCAAATTAACAACCCTTGAGTATCCTCTCTTATAAACCATGGGGAAAAGATACATTGCCTTTTTTAGCAATACACAGAGCCAAAATACATCTCCAAAAGAATACATTTTTAAAATTAAAATACCTACATTTAACTCCATCCAAACAATTAGAAAGAATGGCTCCTTTCCCACATAATACATTTGCCTATCTTGTTACAGCCTGAGTGTTGCCCATAGCAGTTTGTGGACTAAATTCGGGATTTAAAAAAAAAAATAAAAAAAATAAAAAATACACCTTTCAAGTTACCTACCCTACAGCACAAATATTCAAACCTGCTCAATTATTCCCAGGTAACATTTGATGTATTGCTACCATAGGTGAACCCGTGACAATACCTATTAAATTACTTCTCACAGAAGCATGGTATTTAAGTTCACTGTGTTCCTTTCAAATTTCTAGGCCAAGCAATTAAAATATAAATGTCTATCTTAAACTGGATGTACAACAAGAAGCACTGCCATTTGAAGTCTGCAGAAAATAGTTTGGCACCTCCATGGCTGCTTAAGCATTTCCACTCTGCAACAAAGCAAAACACTTAATCTTCCCAGCGGAGAAATCAATAGGAAATCTACCAACTTCATTTTTCTGGGGCTTGGAAGCAGATCACAAGAGAGGCAAACAATAGAGATCTCTACCGAGGACAAGGACAAGGACCGCCCCCCCACCCCCCACCACCAAAAAGAGTACAGGCAAGTTGTGCAGATCCTTCAACCCCTGAAACAGCCAGAAGGACGGGAAACTCTCTCCTCAATCTGACTTTGCAGCACCTTGAGGTCTCTGAGCAGCAGTGAGAAGAACGTAAAAGATACTACTTCTCAATAGCCAGAGAATTGTCTCATTTCGAATTTTTTGGGTGGGAGGGTAGGGGAGGAGGGGCAGGGAGAGCATCAAGTATGTCATACACTCACTGCCAGGGTAGGGACAGAAGTTACACATAAACCAGTGTAAGTGATTGGAAACAGGTTCCGATCTTTCAACAAAAAACAGGAGTTCAGTGCACATAGACCACTTTCAAAATGGCCAAAACTGGTTTAAAGATAAGCCTAGATGGACATTAGTAGCAGATTTAACTGATTTAGGTTAAATTGATTTACTGAAATTCTCTCCCAGATCCCCTCCAGATTCAAACCAACTCTCAGTCCCCCAGCATCCCAGGATGCTTTGCACCTGCCACACAACACCCCTCCCCCTCACAGGGGGGAGTAGGCTATCCTTGACCCAAGCTGTCTGCTCCAGCTAAGCAGGAAGACATGCTCTAGTGCCCCCTGGCTTCTGGTCTGGGCCACTGCAGGCATGTGGCTGCATTTCCAGACTCAAAAGTGAATGTCTGTTCACTTGCTTATTGGTTCAATCTACGCAGCTTAGACTAACCTGCGGAGATTGAATCAATTCAGTCTTGGGCATTTTGACTGTCCCAGAGTAGAGTTAAGAAAATGTAAAAAATCTAACAAGACTGAGACCCTTTTGAAGGAATCAACACTTAGTCCTCAGCCTCTACAGCATTAATGACGCAGAATACTTACTGCAGTAGCAAGACTGGCCCTCCCACTCCCAGTGGATGGTCATATGTTCACTGGTAAATGGTCTGAGAATACTTTTCACATTAAATCACTCAGCATTTATTGACCAGTAACTTTCTAGTGACTGTTTTCAGAAAAACCTGCTAAAGGAGTTCCAGAAACTGATACTACTAATGGCATTCAAGGCTGGGCTAGACTAAACAAGTAACTATTGGCTTCTGTGAAGCACGGTTATCTTAAGAAACATACCAGAGAAATCTTGTCCATCCCAACAGGTAATTTCCTTTAGGTTTCTTATATGGGGTTAAACATATTCATTTAGTCTGAACAACAGTAAGACAAAACCAATTCTGATCAAATCACCAAACACAGTTGTTTTAGAGACTCACCTGTGGATTGTAATGACCAAGGGTGGTACTTTGTTTGACCATGTCCTTGCTGTCAGAATATAAATTCTCTTTTCCCAAGTTTGCATCATTGCCATATAAACAGAAATTCACATTCTTAAGCACAGGCTTAACCTATTTAAACACAGGTAAAACAGGAAAACAATGATTAGAAATGTGTTTAAACGTTTCAAGTCCTTTTTTTAGCCAGAAACATCAACATCTTAAGAAGGGGAAAAATTGGGAGGTGAATCTATACATCTAAATATCTCTATATATCTCTATATAGATATCAGTATCTCTATCAATAGATAGATAGATAGATAGATAGGCGGACTGGTGGCTCCCGAGTCTGGGGGGCACCAGATCACCGATAGGGGGGGATCCCCAGTGACCCATTGCTGACTATGGGGGGGGGGGGGGCCCCCACCAGCCAATACCGGGGGGGGGGGGGGGGGCCCCCCCCCCAGCCAATCGCTGAGCCAGCAGCAAAACCGGAAGTGCATTTCCAGTTTTGTGGCTGGCTCTTCCAGGAGGTGCATGGCCAATCTCCAGGGGTGCACATGCACCCACGTGCACCCGCTATGTGTCGCCAATGGATAGATAGATAGTGTGTATCTATCTATATCTATCAATGTACATTTATTCAGACGATCAACACCAAAACACTGTTATTTGCTACAATAATACAGTTCACTCAAAATGTTGGCGTTACTCTGACACAGAGGTGTTTAACCCTTGTTTAACCCTTTAATCCAGCCTGCCAGGGTCCAAAAATGTGGTGGTGAGGGAGTGGTAGCAGCAGCTTCCACTCCCCCTGCCAAGTTTCTTGACTGATGGGCAGACATGGCCCAGGAGCCAATCCAGGCGCACAGGGGCTGGCTAGGGTGCTACAGGGCCAATCCTGCAGCACTGGGCCAAGGAGATGGTGAGAGGGCCCTATCTGGCAGCGTGGGGCTGAGATCAAGCACTCCGAGCTGCTTCCTCCAGGCCAATACGTGCCGTGCCACTCATCGGACCCACAGCACCAAAAGGTTGGGCGCCAGGTGTCATAACACATTTGAAGACTTAAAAAAAGCCATTACCTAGCACAAATTGGAAAGTACCTCTGACAGAGTCAGGGATATCTGAATCACACACACGCAAAGAATTAAGATTTCATTTAAGAAAAAAAAAGGTCTAACATTTATGGTTAAAATCTTTCCAAATTAAAACTGAAATTCGTCTCACAGCTCTGCATCCAGCCCCGGTGTCCTGTCCTTCACTGACTAGGTTTGTCACTTTTCATCTCTACAAGCAGCAGTGCAAACTCTCAAAAATCATCTCAATGATTCTCCCGATGAAACATTTTCAATCTGCTGCAAAGCGGGAAATCAGCAAATGCTATCAACCCCTGTGGAGGCAGGCATTCCTTCGGCAGAGCTCAAAACTGGAAGGCAGGGAGGAATATATTCGTTGGGGCAAAGGACTACAATAGCAATTTCATTTGGCTACAAAAGGTGAGTTTACTAGCCCGAAAGTTGCTTTAGACTAAAACATTTAGACGTCTCATGATCCTGTTGGCTCAACTTTAAATAATTTTTCAGCCCTGACCCACATAACCAACATGGTTTCAGTGAATTCAATGTCGACGTCATCAGCAGCAACCAGCAAAAATGAATTCTCATGTCAAAGGGATGAACTCAGTGATCTGTGGCCAGCAAGTATGACAACTAAACAGAAACAGAAGTCTACTGAAGAATAACCTGGACAGTATTCCAAAACCACCAGCAATCAATAGTTTCTATAAAGTCAGCTATTATAGCACCTAGAGGATCATCATAATTTTTAGGATAAACGACATTAAAAGAAAAAAAAAAAAAATGTTAAAACTCGATCATATGCTGGCACCACATGAGCACCCTAGTGTGTCACAGTCATTTTTGCTTCTCACAAGTATAAATTCACAAATCAACAGGGTTTGCTAGAGTGTTAACTGACTCCTAGAAAAAAAGAAAAAGGAAAAGAAAACCAGTATAGGTCAGGGGTGCTCAAGTCCTGGCCCACGGGCCAGTTCTGAGTTGCAGGGCCACGTACGGGTGTTTTCACGAGTCTGGAAATTTGGTGGTGGGGGGAGTGATGGCAATGAACACTGCCACCATCCCCTTGCCACCACATTTCCAAGCCCCGCTCAGCTGGATCAGGCCTGGCTGGGCCAGCCCCACATGGAAGGATTGGGACTCGTATCCCCATGGCTGGACTGAGCTAGGGCAGCTACACAAAACCAGCCTGGCCAGGGCCCAGTGGAGCTCTCTGTCTGCATCAAGCCCCAGCCCCGCATGGGTGCCAACTGGGCCAGTGTTGCACCCTGGATCGGGCTCACAGACCTGATTTAGCCCACAGACAGACCTGGCACTGTTCATCTGGCCTGCAGGCCAAAAAGGTTGGGCACCACTGGCATAAATCATGCATACATTTATAAAACAGATCATAAACAATCAGAAAATTCAGTGCAATTCTTAATGGGATTAGTCACAAGACTACTTCAACATGTAGCCTTGCATGTGCGGCAGATATTTCTTGGGACCCAACTTCCCTGAAGTCTTAACTCAAACTCGGCTCACTTTGCTTTTAAGGCACTCCATACGCACACACGCAATGCCCAAGTAGCTGAGTAACAGGGCAGACCCAGATAGCTATTAACAATCATTGCTACTCTTAGCTGTGCTGAAGGATGGGATGCAGAGGCAAACAACCAAAATGTGCTAGTCCTCCAAACTCTTCCTATAAGCTCACCCGTTCCTGGGTACTATTTTACAAATAACCCGTGGTCTGATCTTGGCTGTGGACCCCATGGACCCGTGGCTGTGGACGACCAGTCTGCCCCTACCTAGGGTCCGGGGTGCAGGTGCCCCCTCATCACTTCTGCAGTGTTTGAAGCAGCAGAGCGTTGCCTCCTAAGGACCTGCTGGGTGGGTTGTTACTCTTCGGCATGGTCTTCACTGACACGGAGGTGGTCAGTATTTATATCACTGTACAATCTTAAATGAGGTTTTGGTTCTCAGTTCACTGCACTACACCTTCACCCAACAGCGAGGACCCGAGTGAGACTTGCTCAGTCTAACTCATGCTAAAATGATGGGTTTATCTATACTTGATAGTTCATTCAGATGAGGGCCACGTGTGCAATAGCTATTCTTGAATTATTCCATGTTTGGACGGTCCTTCTGGAATGCAAGCGAGTACCTTGTTCTTGGTGAAATTAATCTGCCTTCAGCTTCCTCAGGCTGCCCTGCATCTTTTTGTGCTACACTGGGGACGCGCTGGGGGTGCACATGCAGCCCCTGAAATTTGGTGGTGCATGTGCAGACCCCGAGAGAAGCACCGCCAACGCTGCTGGTGGCACCTGGGGGTGGTCGCTGCTTGCCACCCCCCTCCCCTCGCTGTCGACACCATTGTGGCCACCTGCGGGAGCTCCCCGCTCACCGCCACCATGCCCCCACCAGCCTCCATGGGCACACGTCATTCATGGTACAGTTGCAGGTTTAAACTGATTGCCAGTCACTGAGACCACTGGCGACGCATAGGGGGTGCATGGCACCCCCGGAGGCGCCAGCCACAAAATCGGAAGTGCCGGTGGAAGTGCACGTCCTGTTTCACTTCTGGCTCGGCGATCGGCCGCGGGGGGACCACCCCCCATCAGCGATCTGGTGCCTCCCCCAGCCGCGGCAGGCACCAGTCACCCATGCTGTGCTACCTAAAATTCAGTCCCTGTTCCACATTAAGGCAGTGTGGGAAAGAGACTGGAAGTCTAGCTGCCTTTCACCCTTCCTCAAACCATCTATTCTGAACCTCTGTCAGTCAATCTGGAGGCCTAAGTGCACTCTGGGTTACCAAGCCAGAGAGCACAGAAACTTTGACCAAACCGCTTGGGGACAGATCTCCACACCGCTCCCAGCTAACTTTCTGGAGGCCTGACATTTGTATAAGCACCAAAATGATACCACCACTTTTTTGTTCCTCTTAACAAAGAAAAAAAAAAAAATACAGAAAACTTAAAATTTCAGCTACAAATTCAATATTTTGGCAACAAAGATATTAAGACCTTCTAGACAACATTAATATATAAACAATGTGGATTTATGCAATGAGTGCTTACAATATTAACTTTCCTATTCCCAGCTGTCAAAATGTAAGTGCAAAACCTTGCCTCTTGCACTTAATTTTATTGTATTTTAGCTAGTTTGAAATATCCAAGTAAGTTACAGAAAAGGGCCCTGTTTCTACACCAGCTGTCACCAAGGCATTTAATTTAGGGACAAAAAGTAGATCAAGAAAAACAATATCAAATTATCTGTGGACTACAGTTGTGGCTCAATGTCACAAGGCAGGTACATGGAAGTCTCACTGACTTCAACAAAAATGCCAAGTCCCAGTGGTTTGCTGGGTCATGCCCCTGCTTTGTAGTTTTGAAGGCTAACTGGTATCATGAATGATAATTTACTGTACATCAGCACTGAAGAGTACTAAAAACTGACATAAGCTGTAAAATGCAAAAACAGGCTTAGAGAGACTCAGACTAAAACAGACGATTTACATAATAACTATTCCTTAATTATAAAAAACCTCTTAGTCAAACATTCACATAAAGTTGCCAAGCATTATTACAGTCTACAAAATTAAGTTTAAGAATGTTTTCTCCAAAAGTTTGCAACTCAAATTTGGAGTCCTTACACAAATGGTTTTTTGGGAGGAGGGGACAGAGCGAGGAGGGTGGGAAGGAGAGCTGTTACACTGTATTTGTCAATATATCATCTGTATAATTCAGAGTGACCCAACCATTCTTAAAACATTTTGATAAAAGCAGTCATATTCATTGCAGGCTCCATTAGCATATACTAGAGCTTGATACCGGCTAACTTCACTGGCTTTTGCTTTGGTATAACTCTTTGACATAGTTTATCATCCATAAGGAGGGAAGGAAAACACAAGGGCCTATTAAACAAAAGTCATGAAAGGTGCCAAAAAGTAGTTTAAGTAAATTCAAATATTTTCATGTGCATGTTTAAAATAAAGTTATTTAAAAAAAATAAACCTCACTATTGTACTAATTAATTTGTAATTTTAAAAATATATGGAATTCCATATGAGTTTCAAAATAGTGTTGCACGCTTTTTTTGTTTGTTTGTTTGTTTTAAAGAGCAAACGATTTGGGCAGTATCCCTCACACTAAAACCAACGAAATTCATATACATGTCCTTCAGAAATGTAGTCCTCTCCCTAAAAAAGTCAAACATTGTTAGAATTCCTTCCTGCTCCCTTGCAACTTATTGAGAATTAACACCGCATGTTGCAAAAGGAGTTTCAAATGTTGCAAGCTAATGTACCTTACCATCAACTAACTCTAAGATTTAGATGTCCTGGGTAGATTATGCAGGGATGCATTTGGTAGCTGTGTTGGTCCGAGACAAAAAGAAATGCAAAGATCAAGAGCTCTTGGTTCAGAAATGACACCTTGTCTGAACCAAGAGCTCGTAATTTTTGCATTTATATTGAGGATGTATCTGTTATTTACATTAGCCGACTGAGATTAGATGCAAAACTGCTTCCCCTCACCCCATCGGTTTGTGAAATCCACACAAAAATTGCAGCGTTAAACACAGCGCCATGATATAATATAAGTTGCAGAATATAGGGAAGAGAAACATGCTGGAACACCTGGTTGGAAAGTTCAAGTATTCAAGGTAGCAATCAATGCCTAGGGGAGCAGGGTGACGAGAGGCTTCTGGGGTCAACACCAGCACTTGTGTTACGCCGTGTCAAGCATTCACAAGAGGGGTTTCGGTGCCCTTTGTAAAAGTCTGGGCTCGGTTACCTGCGATAACTGGATCACTTTCCAGTCATCACAGGGACTTTTAAGCACGCCACCTTTCTAGCAACATTACTCTGCAGAAATTGTTCTGCTTGAATCCTCGTTTGCACTTTCTAAAGCAGGAGCACGACTCCCCTCTCCGAACACCGCTCCTGCGCTAACACAAAAATGACACGTTGGTTTAATCCCCGGGTGTATAAATCAACTCCCATCCAACCCCCCTGCGCAGACGTTACCCACCAGTCCGTCCCAGCGTGCATTACTTGCCACGAGCCAGCTGCACACCCTGGACACTGCACCAGCTTATCCGCGGGCCACGAAGTCCAGTGGCGTAGTCGATACCCTGCTAAACCTAAGCCAGGGCTGCACCACCTCACTTTGCACGCCGCTGCCATGGGACACACGCTACACACTTCAGTGACTACACGCATACAGAAACTGTTGCCAGGCTATGGGGAGCGTCTCTTCTCCACCCATTGAGGCAGCATGACAAACAAGGCGAGGAAAGAGGCAGGCGGGGTTTGGTGTGTGCAGAAGGAAGAGGCCCTGGCTATGAAACCAGTCGTTCAAGAAGCAGCACTAGCATTAGGCACTCAGCTTCCCTGAAATAGTTGAGTCTCCAATCTGCACCTACACCAACACTGCAAACTGCTTGCACTTCCACACATACACACCCCCTTCAGACACAATCCCCTTTAAATGACTCTGCAGCAATAGCCACCCCCCTCCCAGGAGCAAGACTGCAGCATGCCAAAGGCCTTGCCACAGGAGTCAAAGAAACCCGGAGCTTACATTTTGGGTCTTCTTGCTTTACAACCAGTCTCAGCCATGTAATGTCTGATGTCACTGGAGTACCAGTATGTGGAAGTACTATGGGAATTGTAGTCTTCCCCTATTGTGTAACAGCTACAAAGCACAGGGCTGAGCCTGCAAACACAGCCCTGGGAGCAGCCTCCTTGCAGCACTGGGCTGCAGCAGCTGCCTGGGCAAGAAACCTAAATTAAGCAGATGATAGAGAAAGCATTTTTCCAGATGAAAAAAAAAAAAGGGGGGGGGAGGGTATGGCAAGATGCTGGATTGCTTCTTCCTTCATTCCCCAGGTGAGAAGCAGTTTCTAAGCCATTACTGTGGGGTGAGCACACCTGTCCGAAGCAGACTGGAAGTGTCAGCACCCTTGGGGAAATAAAGGGGGGTATTTACCTGGAAGGGAGCACACCTGGCCTGATCACAAATCCTGTCTCACACAGGTGTGCACGCTCGCCTGGGAGGAGAAACAGCTCACTGACAAAGCTGTAGTCATGCTGGGATGGGCATTTCCCCCGATGTGTGTCACTCTGGCCAGCCCGCTATTAGGCAAGACTTGAACAACTTGTTTTTCTTTTTAAGAACAAATTTGGCTCCGTATAAGCATTCACTAGACAAACGTTTGAACTCTTTTTAAAAGAAAGGATGTCTCGGATCAAGTAATAATACTTGCTTGTACATTTTTTTAATGCAAGTTTGAGGCTTAAATTTTTACCCCTGGTCTGTGCATGGCTTAAATAGCTCCTGGTGCTGCAAGCTCTGACTCTTGCTCCCCCCATTTTAACTGAAGCTCTCATTCGTAGTCTAGTCCACAACAAAGCCATCATTTTCCACCCAGGTGTTCACTGTTGTGCATCAGTGATGGATGCTCCAGATGATCCCTGTGTCCCCCTCTTGCTAACTCACCCTACCCCATAGCAAACAGCTAAGAAAAGGGCCTTACCCAGGTGAACTGCATTTAAAAGCTGCCAAATGAAAGGATAGTGGGAAAAGTTAACAGCATCAAACTGAGAGGTTTGGTTTGTAGCCTAGTTGCAATAAAAAGGGGTGTTAAAGGCCTAATTGTAATAAAAAGGGGTGTTAAAGGCTGAGGATCAACAGGTTTTAATCAAAACTTTGTACACTTTTAGTGCACACAACTTCAGTTTAGCTGTATAAGTCCAAGCCTAGGAGTGAGACATGAACCCACTCTGTAGCTTTTCTGAGTGTTAGATAAAATGATATCTAAAGGTACTACTGGGCGGCCACCTCCCACTAAAACTCAATGGGAATTAGGCACCCAATTCCCTGCAGTGCTTTTCCAAAGTCCAGCTCCTGGCCATGTTGCATCTCTACTATTGTTACCATCGGTGAAACTTCACCTGTCTTAGCAGTACTATTTGTTTTTAATTTTGGGGGGGGAAAAAAGTAAGTTTTTGTAGACAGGACCTGTGTGTTTGTCTGGTAGATGTGCGACGGGGTTGCACAGAGAGGGCTGGATGCAACCGTGGAGGAGGCCCCTTTCCAGGCTTATTATGTACATGGAAAAAAAACAGAAAGTTTCTGAACCCTTTATCTTCTCCAACTCTAATCTCACCTTCCCCAGTTTGTTAGGCCATTTTTTTTCACCATATGCATGTATAAATTAGTTACTCCCAACTACCATTTTCTAATGCAGATAATTGCACGTAAATCCGGTGGCAGAAATCCATGCCTGCTTGAGAGATCCAAATATTAATCTTTAAAAAAATGCATTAACATATTATACCTGCACTATTGGTTTGTGAATAAAACAAAACAAACCCAAGGGACTATGGTCTGCGTGCTGAAGACCTTGCAATCTAAGTAAAAGCCAAATAAAAGCCACGAAACTAATAAAAGCAGGAAACACAACCAGGATCCTATAGTTTAGGCTCAAAAGTTGCTATACCTTAAATGCTGATGATCTGTTAGGATATATACTCTCAAACCTATTCTTTTTTGATTTGTTAATATACACATGCACCCATCTCGAAGCAGCGCGAGGGAGATACCCCTGGGCTGGCTCGCAGCAAGCAGAGCTGCGGTTTCATCAACGCTGGCCTGGCGTAAGGACGTCGGCACAAGCCACCAAATCCGTCCATACTAAAAACGCAGAAAAAAGTGTGCACCCGCTACAAAAGCTAATATGGACAATGACAAACACGTGATATTATGTTCTCCCGATTGTAGGTTGTCAAGAGGGAAAGCTTGCATTTACAACCCAATCCAGCAGCCTAGTTGGCCCAGTCTTTAAATGCTTTCACCTGAATAAAATACTGCAAATGCTAATAAAAGTGCAAACACATTGGTAAGAGTCCACCGCGTGGTGCTGCACGCTGCCGAGTGAAACACGCGTATCAGTGCAAGTGAGTTTGTACTGATATGGAAATTGCAGTGATTCACTGAACCGGTAAAGAGAGAAGCGTTCCCAATAATCCTCGTTTCTGCCTGAGAGCATGGAGTGGAAACAGCCTTCTTTTTCGATTGCACTATTTCGAGACTGAAATTTCAGACTTAAATGCATTTGATCTTGATTTCAGTCATAAACACTTCTGCATTTTTTCCGCCGTGGTCCAGGAAACACGAGGGGCAAGAAATCTTGTGGGGTTTTTTGCTGGATTGTGTCCCAACCAAGAAATTGGTCAAATCAAAGATTGCACCCGCAAGGATTCTTGCTCGAAAATATTTTGCACACTTTGACGGGCCTAGACGAAGAGACCAAGTGCAAAGCCACGACCATTATTGCACGTCATGCATCTCGTGAGCCTGTTGGGGAGGAAGGCTGTGCTTTGTTGAGGGCTGGCTGGCTGGCTAGGGCAGGGCCAGGCACACAATTTGCAAAATGGTGTGTGGGTACACAAGTGCATGCAAAATGAAGCACGTGCATGCAAAACAGAGCATGTGTGTGCAAAGTGTGTGCATGCATAAAACAGAGCATGTGTGCAGGTGTGTGTACACACAAAATGAAGTGCGTGTGTGCATGCACAAAATGGAGCGTGCATGTGTGCAGACACAGGCACATACGCATGTGGGAAATGAACCGTGTGCAAAATGGAGCATGTGCGTGCAGCGAATGGAGCGTGTGTGCATGTGTGGTGTGCATGTGCAAAATAGAGCATGTGTAGGTGTGTGTACACAAGCATGTGCAAAATGAAGCATGTGTTCAGACATGTTCGCTCACGTGCAAAATGAAGCATGTGCATGCACCCAATGGAGCGTGTGTGCATGTGTGCAGCGTGCATGTGCAAAACAGAGCATGGGTGCAGAGGCGTGTACACAAGCATGTGTGAAATGAAGCATGTGTAGTGCGTGGGCAAAATGGAGCCTGCATGCGTGCTGACATGCAAAATTAAGCGTGTGCAAAATGGAGCATGTGCGTGCACCAAATGCAGTGTGTGTGCATGTGTAAAATAGAGCATGTGCAGGTGTGTGCACAAGCATGTGCAAAAAGAAGCATGTCGTGTATGTACAAAATGGAGCATGTGTGCAGACAGGTTCACACGCGTGCAAAATGGAGCATGTGCATGCACCAAATGGAGCGTGTATGCACGTATGCAAAGTCAGTGTGCAAAATAGAGCATGGGTGTAGATGTGTGCACACGAGCGTGTGTGAAATGAAGCATGTGTAGTGCGTGGACAAAACAGTGTGCATGCGTGCAGAGATGTGCAAAATGAAGTGCACGTGCAAAATGGAGCATGTGCGTGCACCACACGCATGTGTGCAAAGTGTGCACGCGCAAAATAGAGCATGTGCAGCTGTGTGTACACATGCATGTGCAAAATGGAGTGTGCGCAGTGTATGTCCAAAGTGGAGCATGCATATGTGCACACACACACGTGCAAAATGAAGCGTGCGCGCACCCAACGGAGCGTGCGCGCTCAGAACACAAAAGCGCCGGGGGGTCAGGCGCCAGGGGGCGGGGCTTCACTAACAGCCATCCCCGCCCCCCCGCCCTCAGTGCGCGCCGCTTCCCGCGCCAACGGCCTGATTGGCCAACGGTCTGGGCGGGGAAAAACCATTCCCCGCGGGAAAGGGGCTTGAGGGGTCGAGTGGGGCGAACCATTTCTCTACCTCTATAAATACAACCACAGGTTTAGCGTCATTCTTGCAGTCTGCGCTTCAGCAATGCGGAAAGGGGGCTTTAGCTTGTGTCTGTATCGATAGCGATGAATCACAGAAATATGCATCAGTATAAATATAGATAAAAGAATACATAGAAATATCGTTTTAAACTATATGGGTTACATATATTGCAATAAAAATATCAATAAAATAGCTACGTTTTCCGCATTCCTGAAGCGCAGACTTTAAGAAAACCCAAAATCTGTTTTGTTTATATTTAGATAGAGATAAAAGACCTATTTATAAATATAGTGAAAGTAATAGATATAGATGTGGATAAAATATATACGATATATATTTAGGTATAAATATCGACAAAAGACAGAGCTACATTTTTCACATTCCTGAAACGCAGACTTTTAAGAACACCACCAATCATTTATATTTATATATAGGTAAAATAAATAGTTATATAGACAAAAGAATCGATATAAATATAGATCACATATTCATTATATATATTTAAATATAAAGAACTACTTTTTTCACATTCCTGAAGCGTAGACTTGAAGAACACCTATCATCTCTGTTTTATATATATATATATCTATATATAAGATATATTTAAGATATAGATATCTTAGATATAAGATATAAGATATATATATATCTGTGTGTGTGTGTGTGTAGATAAAAGAAAAAGCTAGTTTTTGACGTTCCCGAAGCGTAGACGTGAAGAACAAGCCAAAAATCATGCGAGTCGGCCACGTTGCCCTCGTTCAAATAAAAGCTGGACAGAAACCAGGGATCGAGCTGATGCACATTTTCAAGCACTAACTTTGTAGCTGGTTGGCTTTTTTTTTTTCTCTTCCAGTTTAAAGGACATTTTTAGGATGTGATCCTTACACGGCCCATGTGGCCAGTCTGATTTTCTTGCACGATGGACTCGTTGCTTGTGTAATAATTAACTGTGTAATACATGTAACGTGTGGTAAGGGCCTTGAGTGGCCACCCATTTTACAGACCGAGCCTCATCGAGGTCCACATCACCACCATCCCCGAAAATCTCTATGGAGACCCATGGGGAAGCTGAAACAGGGTCACTTTAAATGCTCCCCATTAAAGTATGAAAATCAATCAGTCAGAAATTAGGACGGGCCGTCATTAAGATGGCCTTAATTCAGCTTTCTGGTGCCCGCACAATAATTCGCTCCTTTAATCACACGATGATCACATGCTATTTTTTCCTACAAAAGCCTTCTTAAGGACTCTCGTGTAAACCATAGGGTGGATGGTGCTCCCCTTACCATCTTCCCTCAATAACTTGTTTGCTGCTTGTTCAAGGTGCAGCCTTGTGTCATGCTTTTTGCACATTATTCAACCCCTGACCTGAAGACAAACACACTCACGTCTTTGTGGGCTTCTCTAAGGCACTGTATCGACAGTATAAATAAAATTAATTTTTGCAATTCCTCTGTAGAAAGGAAGAATATAATTATTCTCTTTCTACAGACTGAGAATTGAGGCACAAATCAATTTAGCCAAGTCTCCACTGGTTTTGAGTGACCAGTTGCAGGTGCCCAAGACACTATTTTCCAGGGGGCTCAGCACTATTTAGCACTTTCTCTGTTCAAAATGCATGTCTTCGTGACTTCCGTAGCAGCCGTTGGTGCTCAGTGCTTCTGCAAAGCAAATCCAGAGTCTCAAATCAAACACCCCCAAAATAGGTATGTACTAGTAGGGACTACATGCGAACAGTTTAAGTGACTTGAGAAGTCCCACCTAGGAGACAGGAATAAGGGCAGTATTTAACATCCTTAACTATCAGACTGTTGTTTCACTTCTGCAAACTCTCCTATCAGTCCCCAACACTCCTAAAATAACGCAAGAGTCCTACAGACAACTCAACACAACACAGACCTGATGCACCCCTAAAGCAGATCCATCCTGTGCATTGAATGAGGTAAGTGTCGTATGGAAAAATGGCAGCGAAACAGTGATGTTATAGCCTGGCTGGTCCAGAAATCACCTAAAGGGCAAGGATTCCTTAGGGTGGTATGTTTTATTGCACCGATTCCACAGGTGCCTTAAGAGCTAGACAAACTTTTGAATGCAAGACAAGGCTCTTTCTGTAAATCCCAGTATCTTTTATTAGACCAACTCAGACATTCATCTTCAGGTGCCTGCACTGCGCCTGGTAAAGTAAACCTTCTGTTTAAAAGCTAGACACCGCTAATTAGTTTATAAAGTTTGTAGTTAGTCTAGAAAGGGCCAACATATTCTGCTTTCTGCCTCACTTCAGACTAACTCAGGTAACTCCCTCTCCCTATTTACTCCTGCCACAGGTCTCACTCCTGTCCCCTCGGCACCAAGGACAGGTTCTCTTAATCCTAATCCATTAGTCCCAGGTCTGGCACAGCTGGCAGCACACCACAACTTCAGTTGAAGGGAAGGTCTTGTTTGCCACCAGGCAGTAGCAAATCTCATGTGCATAGAGCACTGCTGCATTTAGCAGCTAAATCTAAGAGGTTTCTATAAGGATGTAATACAAACAGAAGTCACCAACAATTTGGGCACAAGAACTTTTTGAAGAAAATGTGCCAGAACTTTTAAGTAAGGGCAAAACAGTGTATTTTTTGCCTTGCATTGTTCTTGGAAACACCTGGAAATTTAGGGCCGAATTTTTCCAAGCTATTAGGTTTGAGGCATTTTCCTCGTTGGGAAATTCCAGAACAACTCCTTAGTTCGGGAAAGTGATAAGAAACTAGATAGGTTCTTATATGGGAAGTGCCTTAGTAATTATCAATGGCACAAGCCTCATGTATGATAATGATGTGCTTTCATGGCAACATAATTTCAGTAATACATTTCTTACCTCCAAATCAGCTGTTTTCATTCATTTCTGCTGAGATCAGCTATTGAAAGATTTGAGAAAAATGTCACAGATTTTTAGTTCGAGCAAAAAGCAAAGAAATCCTTTGGCGATTTTCCACTTTTTAAGCAACACAAGTTGCGTTTCATTTGATTTTATTTTGTGCCCTGCACAGAGCGCATTTCTTGATCCTGTTTCATGCAGTCTACCTCATTTGAAACTGAGTTAGATGGACTCTACTACTGATCTCATGTAATGTGCGTTACAATATCACGGAATACAAAGTAAAAGCAATTTTCTTCTAGCTCTGGTGCCTGAACTTAAGCACTTAGGCGTGTATTATAATAGCATCTAGCTAAAAGCAGTTTGATTTTCAGATGGATTGAACATACGCAGCTCCCTTTCTTAGCAGCAGAAGTTAATTAGCCCTGCTTATAACCTGTAAGTATCTACATTTAAAAATTCTGATCCATTTTTTTTTTTTTTTTTTTTAATATTGCCATTGGTAACATAAAAGTCTTTCGAACATTTTAGAAAACGAAAGAAATGAGTGAGTGCATAGCTGAAAAGACAGATAGGACTCCCACAAAAAGAAAAAATGTAGCATTTATTCCTGCT